TTGGTATAAAATTTGTTTGCTTACAGAGAAGCCGATTGCGAGATACCGTTGTTTGAACGGATCATTGGTCGCTGTGGCGCAACGAGGTCATTATACAAAAACGTGATATACATTTCCGTGTATTGAGTCATATGTGTAGATATGCGGAAAAAAAGAATGTACATGGCGGGAAAATAATAGACATTTTACATGTTATACAGTATACGAAAAGATGAAAACTGGTTGATAAGGTAAATCACTGTTTCTATAGCAGGACGAACAATACGTTCCCTTTGTTAAGGAATGTCATAAATGGTCGTTCTTAGATGACAAGTGGATAAAGATAAGCTATTTTGTAGAGAATGAACAATTAAGATAAGTTTTTCAACGTGAATAAGTTGAGAATACGAAGTTTCTGTTTTGAATGCATGCGTTCAAAATTGACTTGCTCCCTGTGTGCCAAGTACACGTTCGCTGTGCACTAACTGTGTTCCTGCTTACGGAGCTGGGAGAAGGCTACTAGTGCTCGTGGCGTCAAATCTGTGCTGTGATCGTACTCGTGAGGCTAGACGACTAGTGTGGCCATTGAGGTACGTCTGTTCCTTGTGTGTCATCGTGCGATATCTTGTTGTGCGCACATTGTTATCAATCGAGAATCGGAAACAACACACCCTACTTAAATTTCGTCATATTTTAGTAACTGGAATGCTTCGAGTTTTAGACTGCAATGCGCGCACCTGCCATATGACGCAAGACACTCAGCTATCCGCCCCCAAGTCACCATGTAACCGAACTTCTCATACGTCACTTTCATGAGAAGAAAGGTCATTCAGAGCCCGAGCACGTGTTATCTGAAATTAGGAGACTGTTCTGGATAATCAAAGGTGGTGCATCAGTAAACAGAGTTCTGAGCAAATGCATTCACTGTCGTAGGCAACTGGGTAATCCAAGATGTTAGTTAATGGCTTCATTGCCTGTAAATAGAATGAGTAGCCACTTGTCACCATTCCATTTGGTTGGTCTTGATCATTTAGGACCATTTTATGTTATTAATAATTATCATTATTATTATTAAGTAATGACAGTCCGTGGAAATAAGATATGGATGTATCTTCATCTGAATGACCATGAGAGCAGTACATCTAAAGGTAGCATACTCATGCTCAACAGAATCATTCGTCACGGCTCTGGACCGGTTCATAGCTCGCATAGGCAAAACAGAAAACATTCAGTAATTGTAAAGACCAAAATGCGATCCTCCTGATCCGAGCGAAAAGAAAAAGACCTCGTCTGTATGCGTTCAACCAAAGGATTCTTCGCTCGTTGTGGATAGCGATAAACAAATCTCAGAGCAACGCGTAGCCCGAATTATAGAGAACCAAGTCGATCCAAAAATAATCTACGGTACTATTTTCGCATTAATCACAAATACATAAGGCACTCATACTTCTGATAGTGAGTCTGATTCACTATCCAGCCAAAATCTTACAAATATTCACAGAAAATATCTGCGGTAATAAAACGCAAATACGAAAATGAGTGATTTGAACTACTGTTCAGGTAATTCTGGACCAATAGGAAACTTCTGCACGCTTCAACAAATCAAGCAAAATAATCTTGTGCGTTACAGCCAAAAGAGGTTCAATATAACCGGAAGCAATGGTTAGTTCAAAAAAGAGCGTCCATTTGAAACTTTGGTCGCAATAAAACAAGAAAAAGCACTGAATCCCATTTACATATAAGAGCAAAGCACTTGGAGGTGTGTCCAGTAGATATGCTGACCAGAACACATTCAGTGATAATGGATCGAATTTTGTCGGAGTGAACATTGAACTGCGGGCCTGGTTGCGACTTTATCTCAGGATAAAATACATATTCATCCCGTTAAGGAAGCGGTACAGTAGCACTTCAACCCTCTTGACGCCAGCCATAGAGGTGGAGTTTGGGACGAACTGATTAAAATAATAAAGAGAAAACTGACGGCAATCGTTAGTGCGAAACTGATGACGAAAGAAGTGTTACTTACGGTCCTGGTTGTAGGTCAACTAATTCGCACTTGAGTGACGCGTAGCCGAAACCGATACGGATGCCAAAATAAAACACGATTGATTCATGGTGTTCTGCAATACTGAATTAGAGTAATCATTAGAAAATGTACAATAGAGCAAACCTCAAATATGCGGCCAAAAGCACTCAAACAAGCAAGGGCCAAATATGATGTCCAGAGAGAACCAAACAGTTACTCACGTTCCCTGACCACGCCCAACTGAAACGTGGCGGGCATCAAATCAACAGATAAAGAATAATGTAGAATGTTTGTGATTGAAAACAGTCAATAGAGAAGCAAAACATGGATTGAGTTNGGAAGGATTTTCGAAAACCTCAACATGAGATACACTGGCCGCCAAAATTCTTCATGCACTCTTCTTGTTGCAAACCATGAGGAATGCGTTAGCACTAAAGTTCATCCATGCCCTTATAATGAGTAACTTTAACTGCCCCAATCTCATATGAACGAGAACTTCCCGCCAGCCATTCGAGAAACAATTATCTCAGTTGATTGGATTGCACCCACAGTACAACTGCGTAGCAGAACCCACCAGATTTGGAGCAGGTCATATACCATCAACACTGGATTTAGTGGTGACTAACGAGGAGCTGATGGTGGAATCTGTCAATGTTACGTCTCCACTAGGACGTAGTGATTCTGCCGTATTGATTTTTTATTATATAGGCTACGCATCTACCCAAGAAAACCGGGAGAGCAGTACTCATGTCATCATAGACTGCAAAAAGCTGCAAAACCTGGCAATAATTAAGCAATGGGCCCTCCCAGAAGATGATCACGATTCTTTGGTGGCATGAAAGAGCTTCGCTGATTATCCTACCGAAATTTTAACGGCTGCAACAAGTATAAAAGCTTATGCTAAATCTAAAACTTGTCAACCATTCATTCGTAGCCGAACAAAGAAATGGATGGAGCAAAGGAACTTTCCTTGGCGGGAGTACAGAAGATGTCCATCTATCGAAACTTGGAATAATTATTCCTTAGTGCGAAATCAGTGTACCAAGTTGGTACGAGAGGATAAATTGATGTACCAAGAAACCCTGGCTCAAAAATTCATTTCTGATCCAAATTTGCTTCATAAACATATCAATTCTAAAAAGAAGGTGAAATGCGGAATACCAGCATTGAGTTCGTGTGGACATGTTTCAACCACCACTCTAAAAGCAGCAGAGTCCCTCAAAAAACAGTTCGCTCAGGTATTTACTGCAACGACACACGAAGCATTACAGATTCCAAGCAAACTACCCTGCATACCGTATCCGTCACTGGATAATATGGCTTTTGAAAGTGAGAAAGTTAGAACAAAACTAATAACTTTGTGTACGAATTCATCACCAGGCGCGGACAACATGCATCCCCGGACTCTGATTTCGCTAGCCAATAACATTTCTGAAACTCCGGCTGTTCTTTCCCAAAGGATTTTTAAGGAGACAGTAATTGCTCAGTCATGGAAGGAAGGGGTGATTTATCCCATTTACAAAGGAGGATCTCGCAGTGATCCAGCCAACTACCGCCCCCTTAAACTTCTTCCGATTTTTTCGAATGTCATGGAGCCTATTGCGGCAGATTTGTTGATGGAATATCCGGAGAAGCATGATCTTTTGCCTCCAACCCAGCACGGATTTCAGCACAAGCGTTCGTGCACCACAAACCTACTCCTTGCACGGGATGAGTGGACAAAATACGTCGATGTAGCCC